CCGCCTGCCAGTCGGTGGCGCTGTCTCTGCTGCTGGCGCTGCCTCTGGCCCTGTCCCTGTGCTACCTGGAGCCGAAAGCACTCGCGCGCTTCAGGTCAGCAGAGGTCACGGCTGAGGCGAGCTCTCCAGAGGAAATGCAGTGTGACCCCGCCGCCTAAAATGACCCCTGACCTCCCCGTTCCTGTCTCCATGTCTGCCTGCCTCCTAAACACTACTGTGTGCATTTTGTTGCTGTTTGCCTTTCACTTTAGCTCTTCCCTTCCAATGCCAGATTTTCAGTGTGAAATGCAGATTAGTCGCTGCGATCTGATTCTAGCTGTTTAAATCGGCAACATTCCAGTGGGACCCTATTCATAGTCCACATCCTGACTGAAAAAAACTCTTTCCCCGCACTTCAGCTGAAGCGTTTATTATATCAGACCTGAACCCGAATTACTCGACCAGCTTTAATCTTACACTAAACAGCAGATTTATACGCATTTTGGATAGATTTCCCTCTTGAGCTTATTATAGTCCTTCAAGTATTTTATAAGAGTCTCAAACAGAAAAGCATGATCTCACTCAGACCAGCCTGTCCCAGAGCTCAGGGCTCGCTCCATATCACTTTGATTGGGGATTCAGGCCTTCCCATCATCCATTTCACCTTTTCAGACTATCTTGTCCATTATTCCACCAATCAGAGTCCACAGGTGGAGGTCATGGAGAAGCCAAACGCAGATGCAGCCACATCCATCAGCTCTGAAACGGCCTTTGAGGTCTGCTAACCTTCCCAGCATGCATTTGTAATCACATTTATATAATTAGCACACAGTCCAGAGGTATTGTAGGACATGTTTTGAACTAATCTTCATCTTTTATCTCCGGCGGCACGAGCAGACGGATGGCGCTGGCGCTCCTGAGAGAAAGGTCTTTCACTTTTGTTTGAGATGCAAATTGTTGTCTTTTTTAATTTCATGTTTTTGTCCAATTGAATGTTGATGGGGTTCTTGCATCATGGTTGTTTGATGATGTGAAATCTTTGCTTTCATTGCTGTGGTGACGGTTGATTGTTTTTATTTGCTTTTGTGCTGGTTATCCTGTGCTTTTTAACTGCAAATGAGGCACAAATCACGTGAGCTCTCTTGAGTAATCAACTGCCTCCAGATTTGATGATTGATTGGCTAAGCAGTGCTAGATTGATGACTTGTGATCAAATGCTGATTTGCCTGTTGGTTGGTTACTTCCAAGAACCCTGATACAGATCCGGAAATCAGTAGTGTCATATATGAACCGAACTGGATCAGCCTAACGTCACATCAGAAAGTCTGAGAGCACATTAAGAATATGAGATTCGAGATTAATTTAAAGCTGGAAGTTGCAACATTTCACTCAAATTGATATGCTGATAATATAATTTGCAATGAAAATAGTTTTAAAGGATAAAAATGCACATTAGAAGCATTTTCACCATTGCTCTCAGACTTTTGGAGGCCTCTGTACATGTGCTATAATCATTTTCCATTACGACACATTTTCTCCTCATCAGTGACGTTCATCAGATTTGACTCCAGTTCATTACCTTATTATCTGTCTTTTTCCTTTTTGTCCAAATGTGTTGTCATTTTTGATCCACAGAGCAAGTTGAGAGTGCAGGGGGAAAATATATATGTCAGACATAGCAATTTAATGTTGGAGGTTCGTATGTAATCAAAGAAAAAACAACAAAGAAAGAGCAAAAGCATAATGGATGGTGGACATGTGTCCC